ATTTGAATCAGATCATGTAAGTTACTGACCACCACCATCCGCCTGCAGGTTGGTTCACGCAATCGGACGAGCCGCACTGCCGCAAGGAGTACAACTACGTGTTCAGTCCTCAAAACAGTGGCTACGTGGAGTGGCAGGAGCGAGAGACGCGCGGCGCAGACGTCAAATGCCAAACTTCACTCGTGTTCACCGCCCGCCCGTATCTAGACGGCGTGCACGTCACCGAGCGCAGGAACCTCGTGTACAACTTCAGGTATTGAAACTTTAATGTAAAACCCTTCATAAAATAATTCTATCTGCGTGGTGACGATGTCAATTGTCAAATGCTCAAAATTTTACACTAATCTGCCTGCAGTGCCTGCCCGTTGGTAGCACGATATCGCATTCCTATTTTTTTGGAGACAATATTTCATGCATGTTTTGCTCAGCCCATTGTCTATGTCCATGCATGTAACGGATTGACAACTCGGATTCAATTCAATTCAATATCGTTTATTCAGTCTAGGCTGTTACAAGCACTTGTGAATGTCGAAAAGCTACGCCATCGGTTCGCAAATCTACGGCGGAAGACCTTGTACTGAGAAGAACCGGCAAGAAACTCAGCAAGGGCTGTTTTTTCTGCCTGTATTATATACAGTCGTCAAATTGAAAAATGACTTCAATATGAGATAACTCATGAAGTCACTTTCCATTGTTGATTGAAGCGCCCGTCTGGGGAAAACCTTAAAAACCCCGTCTTGTGGTGAATTATTCCCCATTCTGCCTATTCCATTGACAGTGAGGGCATGTTCCCCAGCAACGAGGACTTTAGCAGGTTGACCATAATGATTAATGCCGTCTTTGACCTATTGGAGGCCCAGGCCATATTAGGATAATGGTGATTTAACAGGAACTAGGGACTTTGTATTTGATCTGAGGGGGCCCCTATCGATCGCGGGGTCCTGGGCACTTGCCCAAAGTGCTCACTGGGAAAGAGGGCTCTGATAATGATTATTGTATTTAATGTATTCTATTTAATAAATGTAGGTTTTTGAACCTGTATCTGGCAGTAATTTAAAAGAACTTTTGAGTATATGTTTAAGCAACTTTAATCTAACTGCATCCATTTCCGCAGGAGTTTGCTGTCCCGGGACCAGAAAGGCCACGTGAGGGCTGGCCTGTACTTCCCGGTGGGCGGGCGCGGCAAAGACGCCCAGTTCACGCTGTTCTTCGACAACGGAAACGAGAAGAGAAAGACCAAATACAAGTTCAGCACTTTCTTGGAATCCGAATCTGTGAGTGTACATTTTCCAAGTACCTAATTCTCATTAGATACTTCATTTTATTCAGACATTTTGCTAAGTTTTTATACAGACCTATCACATTTGACATTGTTATTACCACCAATAAGGCAATGTGAATAGAAATGTCTGAGAAATAATAGAACAAAATCAACAAGGTCCCGGTACATAGTTTATCCACCTGGAGAAAGCAATCACTAGTATTACGCGATAATTTTGAGGTTAAAGCCAAGTTAAACCTAGGGTTGCCACCTGTACTTTATTATAAAGTATTGTACTTTATTTCGGGTAATAATTGTACTCTATACTTTATGCCAACAATAAAGTACGTGAAAATATTTTATTTATTGTGATTTGATTACTTGGGGATTAATTTTACATAAAACATACAAAACGAGGATAGAAAGAATTTTTGCGTAAAACGGAACTACAGAATGTATAATATGACACCCTTAGCTCATTCCTGCAACATTGTCGCGCCTGTATGGCTTTGTACAATGGTCTTTCCCATTGCGGATAAGAACTACAGATTTTAGTAGCCACAAATTATTCATTAAAAGTTGCTATAAGCAACGTAAAATATATTTTTAAGCTTACCTACTAATAAGTGGAATAAAAAGTACTTTATTTTGGACACAATGTACTTTTTTTCTACCTTTAATCTCCAATGTACTTTATTTGGACATAAAAAAGGTGGCAACCCTAGTTAAAGTATACTTTAAAAATGCCATTATATGACGTGTTCTCATGTGTTCTGGAGTTATTTTGCCGCTACCTACTGTAACCATCAATTCAGCAAAAACAAAACAAATTACCCATGTATTAGAGTAAAAGCCAGTCATTACATAGGTAAAGCACAGAGAACATTAGCTATAATTTTCTCTGTTGATTCATATTGAACAATGCTGCATCTGAAATCTGTTCGTGAATAATGGATTAGGTAATGATACGTTACAGTGATTTGTTTCGTGGCTTACTATTCTAAAAACAAAAGAAAATTACTAAGTACTTACCTATTTGCTTTCTATTCATTGACGATGCACGATTAACCCGAAAAGGCAGAATACCAGGAGGGCCATGGGAGGGCGGGCATGTACCGCCTAACTTAATTTATAATTTTATTATGGTATACAATCAGTAACTACAGAATAGGATAACTATAATAACAATGTTAATTAAATTATACCTGCTTCCGATCTCATCTTCGACGAAATCAAAAATATAAATATAACTGGCAGTTAGATGGCTAGAAGTTAGTAAGTACCTAATATAGCAAATTATAACTGTTCTCAATCCATTTCTTTTCTCCGATTTAGACGCGAATGCAATAAGTTTTTTTTAAACCCTTAAATCTTTTATTGATTAAGATTAAGGGTAAGATTTAAGGGTGTACATAAAATCTTATTGCACACGCGTCTAAAGCTTAGAAAAGAAATGGATCAAGAACTATTCAGTAGTTCAACTGTTATGTTATGACTTACTCATGCTTTCCCTATTTATTTTATCATTTATTTAAACTTTATTGCCAACATAAGCAAACGGCGGACTTAATGCCATAGGCATATATAGCATTCTCTACCAGTCAACCAGTATGAGTGTTGGAGACAAATAATATAACTAACATAATAAACAAACTCCAGACGCCAATGTCAATTATTGTTCGTTCGTTTGCCAACAGATTCCAGAGTCGATATCTGAAGAGATCGAAGTGTGCAACGCCCAAATGAACTACGAGGACGGTGAACTCCGCGCGGTGATCTGCAAGCTCGCCAGGGTCATGGCCAACCAGTCCTTCATCGATCAAATGCTCGAGATCAACGAGGACATCTGCCGCCTATGCCTCTGACAGTCGACGCGGAATGGCGTCCACAACAAAATGGCTCCCGACACGGCGGAGGCAAAAAGCGGGGCCACTTGCGATGATGCTGTTCCATAAAACTTTTTATTTTTGTCATTTAATTTGTAGATTAGTTGTCATTATAATGTCGTATTCGTATGATAATTATTGCTATCAATTTTTTTAAATTATAAATCGGTATATTATATTGAAACTTTTGGTAATGGGGACTAACTATCGTTGGTTTAATTATAATTTTGTAATTAGTTATTTTTCTGTAGTGGATAAGGATATTATTTGTTAAACTTAATTTCTTTCAAGGCTATCGAGTATGATTATTTGCTGATTTATTTTTTCTAAATATATAATTATTTGACAAATCTACATGTGTGTTGCTTAATTCCTACTTACCATTATGAGGATGATTAAATTTAAATAAAACCAACATTCACGAGAAACAAAATATCTTTATTGGAGGAATGGGCGTCTCTTTATTCAGCACCTTTAAAATTTTATGTTAGGGTCTTACCAAGAGCTTCTTAAAAACAAGTCGTAGTTGAAACGTTACTTAAAGGCTTACAAGTCAATAGTTCTTAATTAAGTTTCAATTTAATAGTTCCGCTACTTGGCAACAGACCCTACGTCCAAATGTTAGGCTGAGTACAGACGTACCGCATCGTAACCAACTGCAAACCAGTTGCAACATTGCAAATGAACTGCGGTCATAATGTAGGTAATTGACGTAAATGACACTAATTTTGATCGATAAATTGATCAGCCCTGTACTTTAACTAGTTTCTGAACTTTAAATTCAATTTTCCTCTATATATTTGACAGCAGTTCTTGTTAGAGGCGCCACTGTACTATATATGGAGAGAAAAACTAAACATATACTTACCCCCTTATTAATAAACGAAGAATAACCTTGGATTAGTTACTCCCATGTATTGTCTCTGTTCATTGAATGACAAACGACATTTGAGTGACATGAACAAAACACGGCGTAACTAGTCTAAGCCTATTCCATGTTTATTAATAAGAGGGTCATAGTTTAAGCAAACTTTCAATACAATTACTAAATTATAACCACTTCAATATTGCAACTGGATAGGCTGTGTTTCATTTCAATGTCCTGCCGTAATAGGCAGACGATCAGAGAGATACTTAATTACTTACACGCATATTAACTAGACATCTAAAGTAAACTACATTTACATTATACTTTGTTAGGGGAAGGAATCAAGAGGGAATATCCCAAAGTGTACCAAAGTCCCACGTTCGAATGTCATAATTTTAGACCTTAGTGCACTCATAAACAAGGTCGAAAATATAGACATTCATACGATCAACTTTGGACGATTTTCGTTAGGCCCTCAGGTTGGTCTTTTGCAATCATGTCTATTACAATGCCATACGGAACAAGTTTGTCTAAACATATATCATAAAATGTAGTATGTAATTTAATATATGTCATATAACCAAATGGTACATTATCACTTGCAAGAAAGGAAAACTTTTCTGTGGCATAGTGCCAATGCATTGTTATAAACATACTCACGACAGACATACAACGAAAACTGATTTAACATATAGAATTACGTCTCTAACGAATTCACTCACAGACTTCAATTAAAATTAATGCTTGTCGGCCACCCAACCACACCAACTTTTCAATTGCACTTTCAATATTATATCTTCAAACTTTAAGTGTGATGATTCTGCTAATGTCAGTATTAAAAAGACACGGCTATTTTTGTAGTGTCTTTTGTAACGTTAGGGTAGCGGATGAACTTTAATCAAACTTTAAAATTAATTGACGCCTCGAGTGCGGTTGTAAGCTAGAAACTATTTTTACAAACAAAACTACGTTAAAAATACAGCGCATTAAAATCTGTCAATAACCTTAGATTCTTGATTACAATACAGAGAGTGAAATCTAAAATAAAAATAATCATACAGCGATCAAATTTTTGCTATTGGGAGAACATGATTTGTTTACGACATGTGATGTAATTGAAGCAATCACATGCCATTATAACTGCCAAAAGATATAAACGGTCGCAATGCGCACACGCACGCACTCGGTCTAAATTCAAACTAAAGCCATCTGGTGGGAGAAATAGGTACTTCGTCTCAACAAGAAATAAAATACAATCACTGAGAAATATATATTACTTTAACCTAAATTGAACTTTACACCTATGACATTAAAGTAAAGTATACTAAGCCTTTATGTGTCGCAAAAAATGAGCTATTTTCGGTGACGAGAAGTATGCAAGTACAAAAATAAAATACTGGTACATTCTTAACAGGAACGAACAGGTCTATGGTTGGGATTAATCTAAACTTACACTAATACACCGAAATACATAAAATTTCTACCTAAAATATCCTAGATTCTACAAGATGTAAATAAGATACATATATCCGATAGTATATACATGTTGGGTTTTCAACTTTTTTTGATATCAAGCAATGCATTAATTCCAAAAGCATGAACTATTTGTAAACAACGTCTACATAATATTGTAACTTTGATAACTTATCAATGTATTCAATGGATCATTATGTGGCTCCATATACCTTTCTTTAATACAGAAATGTCTTATTTAAGGGCAAGCAACTAATACAACAAACAACATACAAGACTTTAATAATATAATTTAGCTTTTTACTACTGGAAAGTAAATTAAACATAATTTACTCTTTAGACACTAATTACTAATTAAATCACACCTGCTTCTGGGAGACATTTTGCTGTAAGTTCAGAAAGCTATAATGAAATCACAAAAATATTAATTTCATTATATTTTGTGCTGAATATTATAATTTAATTTGTCGTACTTCTCGTGTAAGTCTTTCATGAGAACCTGCTTCCTAACTATCAATAAAGACATCACTTTGAACCGGTATTTTAAGGATTTCTGGAATCTTCAATTTACTTTTTTCTAGTTATATTTTCTTTAGATTTGAACATCTAGCAGTTAAATGCTTAAAAAATTGAGTTTAAATTTAATAAACATCATACAAATATTGATTTGAAAGGTGTCGTAAGAATCATAGTGATGTAGGTATACATTTTATAATTTATGTATTTTATTTAAGATCATTAAATGATTGCAAGATTTGTGATAGTGTCCTGTCATTGAAGAAGAAAATTCGACAACACCTCGCATGCCATTTCATCATGAACATAGTCTAGGTAAGGTAATAATTACGTATTAAAATTCTGTTCAATCAATTTGGCTAACTATGCCTCCCAGATCGCAAACAATTCTAACTAACCGTTCAATACACAGCTCTCAGTGTTTACGTCACTGTCTAAAAAAGTTGGAAACTTAAACGAAACATCTTCAAATCGTAGAAAACATCTTCTCAGCAACAATAAATAAAATAATTTATTACTTCAATTCGATTCGATTGGTCAGTCGATAATTTAGTGTTGTATTTAAACTCAATGTTGATGAATTAACGTTCCATTCATACACCAAAATACAGTGCGACCAACATCTTGTGGCACTTGATGAAATTCACACGAGGACGCTGCTGGGGAATAAATGGTGAAATGAGGATTACTAAGGACGTAAAATGTTCTTAGTAAAGGGAACGTTATACAGGCAGTCCTCGACTTACGTTGTTTCGATTTACGTCGTTTCAAGTTACGTCAAATAATATTTTGACACTTTTCCTCAAATATACGTCAATTGATTTAATTTCCGGCATAGGAGAATCCACTTGTCGCGAGTTCTGATAAGTTAGTTCAGGGACAACGGACAATCAATACATTAGTATTTTTGCATCTTTGACAGTTTTTGTTTTTACATACATATTTAAGTGAAATTTAATCTATCTATGTCACCTAAACAAGACATTTTGAGTCCGTGTGGATCCTAATCCTTGAGTTTTATATATAAACATATATAAAAATATGTCTCGACTTACGTCGTTTCGATTTACGTCACGTATTTCGAGAACCTAACATGCCGTAAGTACGAGGACTGCCTGTAATTTGTAATAAGAATAATATGAAATATAAAAGGCTTATTTGTTATACCTTATAACATTAGCTATTCCGATTTCAGCCACGCGCCACAAGATCTTGGTCGCACTGTAGAGGTATTAATGAAAAATCATACGTACAATGTCAAAGGCCAGCTCTGACAGAAAAGCATGAACTTAATTAAATAAAAATAACAAAAAAAAACATCAAGCGTTCAGTCTCAATACATACGATTAGGTGTTCAGAGGGCTGGAAGTCCTTACTGCCGATATTATAAATATATAATATATATATACTGTAAATATGTGAGACAGGCATATCTCATCACAGTTTCGGCAAATAAATAGTTACTGAGAACAACACTTGCATTAGATACCGTCAAGATTTCCAACAATTTTCTTTCTTTTTGAGTTCATTATTACAGCCTTCGTTTTACCTACCGCAAATACGTTTTATTTCAGCCGACTTAAACTTATAGTCATCTAAGTTTTGTTGGTCGTACAACAAACCAATACACAAGTATCTTAATATTTACTGTAGCCGACTAATCAGACTACGATGTAGTTTAATGCCAAAACAATAATGTTCTTGTTGACACTTATGCGTTTTGCCAAACATGCAGGGAACGAAGGATACCCGAAGCGAAACCGTCACGCCAGCACTTCACATGGCTCGTATTCGTATTTGCTATTGGTAATTATGACAGCAGGTTGTTCTTGTCATCTTATATATAAAATTCTTTTGTCACAATGTTAGTTACCATACTCCTTCGAAAAGGCTTGACCGATTTTTATGAAATTTTATATGCACATTAAGTAGACCTGAGAATCGGCTACTATCTATAACATTTTATTTTTTGGGCAATTTTAATTTTGATTTTTTTTTAAATGTGATATAAAAAAAGATAAAACCCTAAAATTCTACCCTTCTATTACCAATCCCTATTTTTACGGCGGTACGAAATTCGCTGGGTCAGCTAGTAATCTATAGGGAGTTAAAGCCTCGATGACACGGGGCGAGATTACAAGCTACAAGTCAGCGAGTTTGCTAGCAGCTTGTAATCTCGCCCCGTATCATCGAGGCTTTAAATGAGAGACTGTTGTCAAGTTTACAAATAGCAAATACGAATAGCCATGTGGAATGCCGGCATCACAATAGGATCGAACAAGTGGAGAAAGCAAAGGTATTTGTTTTTTTTTTAACCTTTACTAACCATGACTTCCCACGATTCTATTTTTATCATTATATTTCTGTTTAATAAAAAAATGAGTATTTTAAACTTACTATTGAGATTAATTATTCCATTTATACCTATACATTTTGTAAATCATCGTTCATACTAGTACTGACAATATTCTCGCTGACGCTCTGCTTCGCCACGCTTTCGGTTGCCTGTGTGGCAAGGCATAAGTGAGCAATTACTGTTCAATAATTTGTGTTCTTATAAAACAGGAGATTTAGAAGCTAATACATAATAGAAATCCATACATACATATCCCGGGACAAGGCGTGAAGATATGTATGCAATGGAAATATTCAAAGTCAAAGCGTAGGTTTTTTTTTAGTCAATCATCTTGGTTCATTTTATTGTTATAACGTCATTCCTTTGCCTCATTCATTCTTCCATAAACCTACTCAAAACCTTCACGTGTATGTCGAATCAAATGTCAAAATTTTCTACATATCATGTATGTTCATCAATTTATTTAATATGGCATCTTTATGTTTATAAGAAAATAAAGATTATTAAGTTGGCATTTACGAAAAAAGCATCTTTATTACTTAGATATATAATTTCTAATCTATTTGCTAGTTTCTTACTACTGAAAATATTAAAGTTAAAATATTAATGACCCAAACACGTTCTAATAAAATGTTCCCTTTCCCTTTTCTTAGCCTGGAGAAGTTAAGTTACTATACATAATTATGTAAGTAATATATATGTATGTATATTATAAATGAAAAAATAGCTTTGCCCTCATAAATCTAAAGAAGCTTAACCTTAATAACTTAATTTTTCTTAGGGATTTTAAACAAAATTACTGTGAGAAATCCAATAGCATAAATAAAGTGATTTTTCCAAAAAAACATTGTTGAAAAAGTAACAAAGATATTTAAAATTTCATCGCAAAATACATTTTCAATATCTTCCATCTTTGTTCTATGTTGCTGAAATAACAGAGAGCTTTATTCTTGAACAAATGATTACCACTTTATTTGCTGTTCTGTACTACAAATTTTATTTAAGCACTGGATACGGAATCGCACAGGAAAAAATCTCAAAATTTTAATTCCCAATTGACAAGCCAATATTTTTATATAATCGTCCATATTATAAGGATGAAATTTACAAGGCATTTGCCTGCGTTGCAGCTAATTAAGGTATTGACGTACACACGTAAAGTGCGATTCAAACTTAAGGGCACGGTTGTGAAGTTAGCGCAAGTCACGGCTCAGTCGACGGGCTCGCTGCTAACTTCACAACCGCCATGAAGTTTGAATCGCACTATAAATAACACGCAGACCGTGAAGATAGTCGTAAGTAGGCATATTAAAGGGTTGTGCAGTACTTGTTCAGTGATTGGTGGGTGACGAGTGATGCTTGTGGTGGCGATGGCGATGGCGGGAAGGCTGAGCGCTGCTATACAATTCTCGAACGCGCGTACTGAAAATAACATTTAATTTAATTTAGCCAAACTTACAACCATAAAAAACCGGCTAAGTGCGAGTCGGACTCGCGCACCGAGGGTTCCGTACAAACCTGTAGCTATATTTTAATAATTATTAAAAAATATTTTTTATTATTTGATGTAACTAAAAATGTACGGTTTTCGCAATTTTTCCTTTATTTGTAGTATAAGAAGTTACTTCGTACCAAATTTCCAGATTCTAAGTTCACGGGAAGTACCCTGTAGGTTTTGATTCCCGTGCGAGTTTCGAAAATACGCGGAAATTTGCGGCATAAACGGCTGTATCTTTTGATTGCTTTGGCTTAGAAGTTTGATATTTTCACAGCTCCAAGGGACAGTAGACCTGAGTATTAGATATGAATTTATACCTCCACGCGTTCCTGAGAAAAACGGTCTTGACAGACGGACGGACGGACAACAAAGTGATTCTACAAGGGTTCCGTTTTCTCCTTTTGAGGTAGGGAACCCTAAAAAATCAAACTTATTTGTTCAGTCTAGGCTGTTACAGGCACTTGTGAAAATCAGATGCTACGCCATCAGTTCGAGAATAGGGAGAGACTGTACATGTTCAGTGAGATAGCGCGAAAGTTTCCCAATGGCAGCATTTTAATTGGATTTTCGTATTCGCTATTTATAAACTTGATTACAGTGTATCCTAATTATGATCTATACGAAATGAAAAAGACAGACTGGTGTCAAGTTTATGAATAGCAAAGAGGATTAGCCAAGTGAAGAAGGCATAAGGCGATAGCGAAGGAAAATTTATTTTATATAACTGATAAATTCTTATGCAACCCATATAAATTGCATATAAAGGATGACCTGGACACAAACATAGATCACAGCAGACACGTAGGAAAATATTGAGAACGAAGAGTAGACAGTCAAATCCATGATAATAAGAAATGAATCGAAAATTTTGGTTGAAGAGAATTAAGGCTTTTTTAAAGTAGTGTCTCCAAAACTTATAAAATATAGATTGCACCTTTAACGCCTGCGACTCTCTATCAAAAAAGCACTTTATATTCTTCTTATTTCAGCTTTCAATTTTAATTTAATATAAAATCAAATCATTATCTAAACAATATACATTAAGTTTAATTTATTGGCAATATTACAATGGTTCCTGTACATATTTTTTTTTCAAATTTAAATTTTTAGCAACCATATTTACAGCCACAAAATGATAATTTTCTACGCAATATTCTTAAATATAGATTAATAAAATATTTACTGACTTACGAATTGCAAACATGATGCATATTGATATTTTTATTCATGCTAAATAAAAGCTAGAATCATTGTTGCATACATACATAAACATAGCAAACTCATAAATATACAGCTAATAATAATATTGAAAAATAATAAATAAATATTACGACAGAATTAGTGGACGTAACGCCTCCTCCAGTATCTGGAACTGACCGATTATACCAGATTAAACTTTAGTAAGAGTCTGCGCTACGTTAAGCGGGACGAAAACGCCCCTAATGCAACGATACTCTATTAAATACAATGAAACAAACACGCGGAGCGGACGTCCGCTCCTTGCTCACGCTTAACGCAACGCAGGACCTTAAGGTTTAACTATGCTGTTTGTAGATGAAAATGTTAATAAAAATAAACTGCACTGATATTAAGGGTTGCGAAACTATCGATAATAATATATCCAATAGCGGACCCACGGATAACACACAAAATCGATTATTTTATAAAGAAAAAAAAATGTTTTAAAAGAGTAAAACGGCCACCATATCCAGAGTGGCCTCCTACCCCGTCTGCTTTCTTAAATTACTGCTCTACGAAAAGAAAAAAACCATTAAAACATTAATCTGAATAAAGATTTATATTATTATTATATAGTACTAGCGGCCACCCGCGACTTCGTACGCGTGGAGTTAGTTATTATTTGCACATACTTTTTGACCCCAAAAGGGGGTTTATTTCTAAAGATACATTATTAGTACTCCTCTACACTATCTCTAGAGCATACATGTTAAATTTCAAGTCTCTTACTTCAAAAACATAGGACTTTCATACAAACTTCCAACCCCCGTATTACCTTAGGGGTGAAGTTTCGTGATACTATGTAGCCTATATGTTGACCCAACTTCTTAATAATATTCGTGCCAAATTTGAATTAAATCCATGCAGTACTTTTAGAATTTATCCCGGACATACATACAGACAAACTGACAAAAATTCTAAAAACTATATTTTTTGCTTCGGAATCGATTGCAGATCACACCCCAAGTACTCTTTAAAAAAATATTCAATGTACAGTTTTGACTTTCCTACCATTTTATTATATGTATAGATTATTCATTTAATTATAATTTTAATTATTCAAGAAAGGTTTTATCAAATGAGAATATCGAGTTCAAAGCACAAACAACGACGGTGGACGGTGTTTTTTTAAATGCTAAATAAAAAATACAACTGTTATTGCAATATCTATGCGGTATTCCAATGTGGGAATAATTTCCGAGGTCACGACTATATCGATCGTGACTCTATTTTCGCGTGCAACACTACAGACATTTGAAATATTAAAAAATCATTTGTTAAGTTCTGATGAATATTATTAATAGTGGAAAATGTATTTTAAGCTTCCCTTTGTGATAATATTTTTTTAATAAATGCTTGAATACTTTGTGATATTTATAATAAAATTAATAAACCATTTTTATTTTAGACACTTAATACAGGCCCCGTAGATTGTTAACTACAATTAAATCCATTTACAATTTGTCCAATTTAAATCAAATTTATTAAATAAAGGAGGTTTATCAAAATGACACCAGTTACAACATAAGCCCAAGTAATGTTACGATTTCAACTTTATTTAATTTGTTAGTTATCCCATGTCAAGGTGAGGTTAAGGTCACACTGGTGGATACAATTCACATCGCCTTTAAGGCGTAGCAATAAAGCTGTTATTTGTAGAGCAAATGTATCAACCGTAATGTCTACTGTACGAAGGACGAACTTTGACAGATCCGTATTTGTATTGCCAACGTCAAAAAATATAAATAAGTAGAACAGACTGAGCATCGTCATCAACAACTGCTACACGCATCTGCTTTGTCCACCCTTCTATAGTGATATCTATAAAATGGCTACAAAATTTGCAGATACATTTTAAATAGACCACATTTAATAATGACTTTGCGCTAGGACATATTTCTAAAAGCGAAGTCATCCTCAGATCTAGTTTTCTAGGCATTGGTTTCCAACGAGAAATATCCAAATTTCAAAATATATGCTGAACAAAGTGCGTTCAACATATTTTGCTGTTTCACTTGAGATTTCAAGAAGTATATATATAATTGGTACATCGCATAGGGTTTTGACAGTATACTTGTATATATATTATATACAGATCTTGGGTCTAATCAAGTCGACCACTAAGCAGCGCCCCTATAGTACGGCAGACTTTGACGATGGCGATACGAATACTTTCTCGCTAGTTATTCGTGATTGGGGTAATGGCGTTTAATGTGTTACAGTGAATTTTGTTACTTTTTTGCCTGTTTACTTAATGTTTTTTTTTTACCTGGAGGGCAAGGCCAGTGGGCTTGCAGAGGGGCGGAGGGGTCGTCGTCCCGGCGGCCTCAGGTTCGACGCCCGGCGGTGGTCGCTACTTGTACTGCAATACGGATACCATGCAATCTAGCTACTATATACGGTACTAATACTGAATACAAGTTACAATATGTTGCCTTCAAAATATACCATCTCTTTCCATAAAAGACAAAAAATGTTCTACAAAAAGGCTAAAATTCCACTAATTGACTTAGAAAAACAAAAGCGTTAATATCAAAAAAAATAAGTTTCTTTTAATGCTGCATTATGAATATACGAACAAAAGGGCGGGCACATTGTTGTAACTTATAATAGTGGAAATACTTGATATGGTTACACGAATTAAAGAGTTTTATCAATCTCGGGTTTTAGCCGAGGCCAGGATTGAATGTAAACTGTTAATTTCAGATTAACTGGTGTTCTATGAGACGGATAAAAGCTGTGAATAAAATAAACCAAACATTGGTGTCGATTCTGGCAGGATTCTCTAAACCTATACCTTAATAAAACAGCAGTGTATCCTTGTCATTCTTTATACAGCATGAAAAGGAGAGACTGATGTTAAATTTAGTTTTAAGTTTAGAGAATCATGCAAGAATCGAAACCTTTGTAACAAAATTAGTAACTGTAACTGATACGAAAGAAAAATATATGAAAATACATTAAACGCCGAATTTATACCCTTGTGGGAGAGTAAGTCAGACTGTTTTCAATCGGATACCAAGCTACTACAGCATTGCAAAGGAAAATCGACTTTATTTTCTTTACATGAAATATTTAACAAAAAATATTCTTCCGTTTAGTACTAGGGACAATGTGCTAAGTTATTCACAAACATTTTAATGAACAAAGAACTTTTAGAATCCGTGTAACCATTTATATGTATACTGTATATAAATATTGCAAATAGGAAAGCGACTATGTGCTAAATAGAAATATTGATAACACAACATGCTCTACTTATCTAAAATAATAGTGGTACGAAAAAATATAGAATATTTATATTTTTTATATAATAAATAACGTTTTTAAGTGTGCTATTAGCCTTTTACTAGCACAGAATCATAGAAATATGGGTTATATATTATGTATGATCTATTGATCTACACTGATTCAGTGCGTGTTGATTTGCTTACTGCTGCAACCTGATTCAAAATAGAAGTCGAATTGTGTAACTCTTTCTCTATCCACCATCTTCTTCAAAATTAGGTAAGAGTTATTTTATGTCAAGATGACACTTTCGTCTTTTTTGCACGGTAAAGCGAAAGAGATCAAACCAGACATTTAGCCCCATTAACTAACATAGTCATATTACCTACTGAGAAAGTAACTTTATCCAACCCCACACCTGAAACCATATAATGATGTGAGGTGCAACGACGAATAAATAATCATAAATCATAATCTTTATTTGCTAAAAACACGGTATAGGTATTACACAACGGTTTGAGCACGTGTTTTGCCATTTTAAAAATAGCATGCAAATACATAATATGGAACCAATAAAAAAAGAGATTAATTAATTATAACATTTTTCTGTAGAATTATGAATGTCAGAGTTACCTAATATTATGTCAATAAAATATACAATGTCAACATATTAATATTACAAGATTTCTAAATGTCAGAAAAAAAAACATTAAATTAAAAAGATACATTTATCATAATTATTATAGGATAAGTTAAAACATGTCATTAATTTTTATAATTGAAAAAACTTTTTAGGTCATAAAAATTGTTTTCATTTAGCCATTTATATAATTTATTTTTAAACATGTTCATATTTAGCATTTTTATGTCGGGAGGGATTTTATTATAGATCTCGACACAAAGGCATAAGCAACTTTTCCTATATTTGTCAGACCTTGGGACCTCATTAAATATCATTCTGTAAGAGTCTCTAAGCCGGAAATTATTAACCCTCTTGAACAACTGCTTGTGCCCGTGGACAAACACTGCTAATTCATATATGTACAGCGATGGCAGCGGCAACAATCCAAGACTTTCAAATAATGGTCTACATGATTGGTCTGGCGGGACTTACGTATTATATTATAACAGTCACTAGACGCAGCCACCGATAGTGGCTTAGTGGTGGCCAAACGAACTCTTAATTTGTGCCTTAGGTTAAAACAAAAAGGGAAGATACGGCACGCTCGTATGACTAGCATCAAATAAATTATGCTCCGACTCAACTATATAAGCAACTCTCACACTCGCCCACTTCTGTATATAAACATTCAATCGAGCGAGCGAGACAGAACTGTACGCTTCAACGCAGCGCGAGCGAAACGGCGAATCCGCGTCGTTTGGCAGCCGATTGCGTTTTCATTTCTCTCTCTACAGACGGCTGAGCTGTATTGTTGTCCTTTTCTTGATAAGAAATGGCGAATAACTAAATAACATTCAAGAGAAGCCATAATTTTTGAAAGTTTTAAGAATGAAAAGTGTTGCCGTGGAATTTGTTATTGATTGATCTTGAACTACCTATTTGTGTTCTTTTTAAAAGCATCGAAGGCATTGTTTATTCTTTATAACACAGAATATACGCAATGTTGTTATATTGAGTTCACATGCATCGTGTTTGGATGTCAAATTGTGACTAAAGCAAATTGTGGTCATGCACCACAATTTAAGCTGTACACTTTTGAGCTGCGAGTGCCGTATCTTCCCTTTTTGTTTTAATGTAAGGTTTGCGCCGATACTTACATAAAATATATGAAAAATCTCGACAGCAGCTTGTAGACGCATTTAGTGGTTGCCACCAGTGGCTTAATTTGCGCTTACTTTTAAGCATGCACTTGATTTGACGAACCCCGTGGCCGAGTGGTATGCACGCCGGGTTTCAAGGTGTCGCCTACTCGAGAAGTCCCGGGTTCGAATCCCGGTGGGGCTAGACGTTTGTGTGGTGAATACGATTACTTGTACTCCAGTTATGGATGTCTAATATGTATTTCTATATAAATATACTAAGATATGTATTCTATCCGTTACCTAGCATCCCGTAACACAAGCCAACAGTGCTAATTTTGAGGCTAGGCTACATTAATTTTTGTGAGTGTTGGAAATATATATATATATTTATTTATTTTTATTTATGTGAATTTCACTTACTTTTGTTGTGAGGGAGCGGGCGGGGCGGGGAGGGCCAGACGGGCCCGACTAGCGCTGGCCCCCGAGCCTGCCTTCATTTGAAACTCTCTGCAACAAATATACATCGTATTGCACATATAAAATTACTAGCCACCGCCCGCGACTTCGTACGCGTGGAGTTAGTTAGAAATAAAGGTTCACTGCTCGTTCCCCGTAGGTGATAGCGTGATAATATGTAGCCCATATGTTGACCCGACTTCTTAATAATATTCGTGCCAAATTTGAAGTAAATCCATGCAGTACTTTTTGAGTTTATCCTGGACATACATACAGACAAACAGACAAAAAATGTAATAGTCGTTAGCACCCGTGAATCCGCACTGAGCCCGCGTGGTGGGTCATGGCCCAATCTCCCTATTCCATCCATAGAGAAAGCTTGCTTGAAAAATCCAGCAGTAGTGGGGACATTAATAGGCTGATGATGATGACCTGTACTATATTTACCTAGTTTGGTAACAAATGATGATAAAATTATTTATTTTCTCGCACTCATGTCCATTATGAGACGCGTGGGCGGACACGACATGCGAAGCCGCGCCTAAATCGATAACTTTACCACAGAAATTATCTGTGGTAATGTTTCGGCAAATATTTATCTAATGCTTATTTATATTTTATTCATTGTAATGGATTCGTTGATTTTCTATATAAAGACAATATCTCAGAAATTAATCAGTAAACTTAGATTAGAAAGGGTCTAATATTTATCTAATGCCTATTTATATCTTACTAGCTGTGCCCCGCGGTGTTACCCGCGGTTTATTAGGGATATTTTCTCCTAGTAAAACGTAGCCTGTGTGTTTAATTTAGGGTGTCAGGTAACTCCATACCAAATTTTATTAAAATCGCTTCAGCCGATTAGACATGAAAAAGTAACAAACATACACACTCACAAACTTTTACCTTTATAATATTAGTGTGTGTCATTGTAAAGGATTGTTGATTGTCCATATTAAGACAATGTCTTAGAAATCCGTAATATGAAATTGCTTAATTCAGAAAAGAAGGGGTCAAACGCCTAATGGCTGAATAGGGATGATGACTATTTTTTTTTCTTCGTTTATCAGGTTGATTTTCAAAAAGTATTGGACACGTGTTTTTTCTTTTACTTTTACATAATATAAACATTGCAGAGGTATATTGATTTGAAAAGTCGCATAACGTCACGTTTTGGTACAATTTTCACTTAAAAGTGACGTCACGGGCCCCTACTCCCAAACTTAGACGCGCTTTATCTTTGTCATTTTTTGGTTGAAGCCGAAAGAAAACATACGTGTCCATTATTTTTTGATCATCTAACTGACGCAATCAATAGAATTTCGTTTACTTTACCCCGTCATCATGCCTATATTTGATTAATATGGTAGGTAGTTGACTATCGATATATCGTAGTGTAGTTTTACTGATGATCTAAAAATATCATATTAAGGTTCGATAGGCAATAATGGATTTTATTTTATGCATAACACAGCTACATTTATAAATCTATAGAAACAATTTTTTTTGGAATCTGTATATTTTCCGTTACAATATCTGTACACTCCTGATGAGTATACCAATTCACTATCAATATCTTAAGTAATCGACAATGGCACTTGCACATCACTAGAGTTTCTTGTACCTACGCACAGCTGGCAGGTCAATGGATCTTTAATATATTCATCAAAGTATTAGGTCATCACCTGACCTTTCGTTCCCTTGATCTGATCCAAAGTATCAGGACTCCCGGCGTAGGGGATTGGCTCAGGGTAGGTAATGGCGCAAGTGATATTTTTGGTGTCGCAAACGTCTACAGGCTATAGTGGGCGCTTACCATCAGGCGGGCCAAATGCTTGTTTGCCACACTTTAGAAAAAAAGAAAACCGGTAAAGTGCGAGTCAGACTCGCGCACCGAGGGTTCCGTACAAACGCAATTTAATACCTCTACGCGTTCATGAGAAAAGAGGTAGAACCTTAAAAAATTTCAAAAAAAAAATTTATTACATATAATTATGATGTAACTAAAAATTTACGTTTTCCGCAATTTTTCCTTTATCTGTACTATAAGACGTTACTTCGTACCATATTTCAAGATACTAAGTTCACGGGAAGTACCCTGTAGGTTTTGATTCCCGTGCGAGTTTCGAAAATTTGCGGCATAAACGGCTGTATCTTATGATTGCTTTGGCTTAGAAGTTTGATTTTTTCACAGCTCCAAAGGACAGTAGACATGAGTATTAGATATGAATTTCAGTCTGATACCTCCACGCGTTCTTAAGAAAAACGGTGTTGACAGACGGACGAACGTAGTGAACCTATAAGGGTTCCGGGTCCCTTTTGAAGTACGGAACCCTAAAAAATAATCAGGCCACCAACTCACCGGTCAAACTCTTCAGCTTCATCCTCCTCTATGTTAATGAACTCCTGGACCTCCTCTGCGTCTCCGGAGTATACGTTCTGCTCGCGCTCAATGACGTGAGCGCGTTCGCCTATATGGTGACCTGTAGGCAAGAAAATTATAGATTCATTTATTTATCATCAGCATATTAATGTCTCCAGTGTACAGACATATTTTTTTGTAGGCCTTCTTTTTTTGCCTTAACTTAGATATTCGATTTTTTAACAGCTTCAAGGGACCGTAGACCTGGGTATGGTTTAAACTACTCGATACCTCCACGCGTTCCAGAGATAATGGGTCTTGACAGGCAGAAACGGCCGTATCTATTTTCTACATTGATTTTTAATTTTTCATTTTTTCTCAGCTTCAAGGGACTGCAGACCGAGTATATGGTTTAAATGCCAACTCGATACTACTCGCGTTCCCGAGATAAAGGATCTTGACAGACATGCAGACGGACAACTAAGAGATCATATAAGGGTATCGTTTTTTCCTTAATATGTACGGTTTTTGCAAATTCGAAGATTGAATAACTTCAGTCTCAGAAAGTACAACATTAATATAATGCATGCTTGCTATACGAATTTGACGACGCGAACGTCTCTTATTATGGCTATCATAAAAAAAATACTTTGACTGTGTAGGTGACAGATACCATTTTTTTTTCCAAACACCAATGTACGCAATCCTTCATGCATGACATCATCTTTAACGTAGAGATGAATGACTTCTATTATTGATTTTACTCCAAGAAACATACGCCATACATACTGTAATATATTAACAAGGCATTACCAATTTCACAGTACATTAGATTTCTAGTTACGTTTTTAGATTTGAATATGCTATAAATAATAAAAAAAAAACTACAATGGCTCTTGGCTCGCAAATCGACAGACAGCAACATCGTATCTGCATTATATTACAGACCTAGAATTCTTAAATCATGTATATAGCCATTGTTAAGACATTTAGTGATTTTCGTCGTTACTATTTCTCTATTGAAGTGGAATTTCTTTCACGTTTTTAGTTCTTTTCCACAATACAAAGAAATCTGAACTGTTCATAGGCTATGTTAGACTTAAGACTATTGTTAGATTAGTGTTAGACTATTCAAAAAAGTAATTTTACACTAAAAAGTACAAGCTTTCCTTCACTAGGATGGATCTTCACAGGACATTAAAGTACTTCAACATAAAGTTGCCAGTCAGATGGAGATTACAAAAAATTGTTATGCGGAATCTTAGTTTCACTGAAGTAATGACAGTCACCGCTTGGTATGATAACATTTTTGGTTAGGGTTTACAATTAGAATTTTGCATATATTCAATTATATCTATTAATCGAATATAAAGTGACTTGTGATTCAAATATATGGGAACAATTTTAACTCACTTAAAAACAGTTCTACACATGGAACGATGCTGGCATGATTTTCTAAATGCAAACTTAACAGTGTATCCCTGTGATTCTCCATACAGAATGAAAAGAAGAGACAGATGTTCAATTAAGTTTTAAGATTAGAGAATCATGCCAGAATCGACACCAATATTTATATTATCATGTACAGTGTCTTGCTCATAATGGCATATCCAAAACAAGTAAATTTGAACTAACTTCCTACAGTAACCACCACTTTTTTGAGGACATCTTCTATAGCTATGTGACCAAAAAAGACCTCTACGAAGACACAGCAAAGTGTGTAGTCTATACACCCAGTTCTTGTAGAATGGTATGGTTGGTGCAAAATGCTGTCCAGGGAATCCGAAGCATCCTTCTTCAACACAACGTCTCAAAAGCTGATCACCCAAATGAATTTTGGAGCAACATTTTTATCTGCAGTTTTATGATGTTAGTCTAATATAAAGGAAGGTACTCACCGATTGACATTTTCTTAGTGCCAGTACGTGAGTCTTGCAACGTTTTGCGAGTCTCCTTGACACCATTTGGACCAATTTTAGTGCTGCTTGATGAGGAGAATACCTGTCAAGGATATACCAGGTACAATACAGGTTTTGCATTTCTTTCCCAATTCATCAAGTTCCATACAAAAATAAGAATTAAGCATTCAACATCAACAGGGTACTAAAAATACGAAAATAATAAAAGGTATACTAAGTAATGATCAGTGCCGTCTTTGACCTATTGGAGGCCCTGGGCATATTAGGATAATGGGGCCACTATGACCCTGTTTGGTGATCTAACAGGAACTAGGGACTTTGTATTTGATCTGAGGTGGGCCCCTATCGATTGCAGGACCCTGGGCACTTGCCCAAAGTGCCCACTGTGAAAGAGGGGTCTGGTAATGATAAGTATTTACTCTGGCAGATAAGACCATGTATTTGTTTGATGAACAAAAATCTTTGTTCCAATTTTGTTCATTGTGTATTATGAAAATTATTCGTTTTCCATAGAACAAGAAAGAACAACAAGCTCAACTTAGTTTGGGATAAATTATTGTTTATAGTTTTCGGAAATTTATCCTTTCTCAAGATATCATGACAATATAGTCATAATTAGGGCAGGGATAAATATGTATTCAAAAATTTAAAATATGGACTAAAATATGGAGTATAAAATAAGAATATCTTTCATATTAAACATTGTGAAAAATTACGATGCAGTCACAGTAACATTAAAAAAATAATAAAAAGATAGCGAAATGTTCAGGTAATTCAAATAAAAAATTAAGATTTAATCATCTTTCTCTATATCTGTCTTATTAAATTGATTGCAGTACACAATCACATGCTTTTTAAATTAATGAAATTAAAACTTTGTCGATTTGGTTTAAATATAGCCATATATTGGCTAAAAGATCTCTCCACAAAGGGTTACCATCCATCCGGATTTGTCCGGACATGTCCGCACTATTTGCCGTGTCCTTCCGTTATCTTTAAAAATCAGTAAATTGTGATGCGAGCAGCTGCTACCACGAGTATAATATCACTGTTACTAAGTGGGTGATGTTTGCATTTTGAGACTAATGTGTCCGGACTTTTCAAAATTTTAAATAGTATGATGTAATAGGACCGTATTTAAAGACACCTGGTTCCAGCGTAGCGCTTGCTAGCAGCTAGTACCGCAGCACTTTGGCACAGGCACAATGTGGAATAAATGAATTTAGAGAATCATAAATCTAATTACGACGAATAATATGCGAGAGAAATAAAACACGCGCAGCCGTGTGGTGACGAGAATGCAAAGACGTAAAATTTTATTAATTTTTGTGAACTAACTCATGTTTTATGATATAAAAATCGAAAATATGGATGGCTGTGGTACTTTTACTTTGTAAAATATGGAATAAAAGAAATATGGAAAAAAATAGTTTTTCACAGTCTATATAATGATAATCTAGGAAGAGAACACAATCATACAAGATCAAAAATCATGAAAATTGTAAATATGTATGAATATTTAACCAGATAATATAATAATCCGGTTAATAGACTCAAATAAGACTTTTAGTCTTTACTTACTCAACTCTAAGCTTAGACTATACACCAAGATTGAACCTGGGATGTAGTAACATTAGTTGGCTAGTCTAAACATAGATAAATTTTAATTATAAGTGCACATTAATTAAAATCTAAATGTATACTAGTAATCAATGAAACCTCAGATCAATCGCTGAATTTTTTTGAAATTTTTCAAGTAACATTAAAAGTAGTAAAAAATTGTTCTTTTACAGGTGCACATTTTTAACTCATTGTGGTAATAAATATTTAAATACGCTTTGGTAAATTTATGCTTAAAATTTACAAGCACAGCCATTTAAACAGTGATTTTTTGTATTTATTTACATTATTATAAAAGAGAGTAGAGTTATTATATTATAAGATAGAGAAAAAGTCGTTTGAAATAAAAAATATTAATACATGATTCACTACAAACCATGATATGGCTCTGTTAAACAACCCAAAGTGGCAGAGGTTTGCAAGCTGCATTTAAATGTTTAGGTATAATGTGACCAAACTTTAGTTTTCTGGGACTTGGAAGTATTCCCTTTACTGTCAGTTCAATATTGTATGTTGATAAATCTGTAAATATTCTTCTCAGGGGCAGATTTAAGGCAGGGCATGTGGGGTTGTGGCCCCAGGGCCACCACATGGCCACAACAAGATAAAATAACTAAATTTCGACAGGTCATCAACCAAGAGGGGACGGGAATGTAAATCATAAGGGGCCTCATGTGCCTCCCATTTTGAAACATGCCCATGTTAGGAGCCTACACTCTTTTGTTGCTCTAGGGCCTCCACACCTCTAAATCCGGCCCTGAATATACTAAAAAAATTAAAGTGTATATACTTGTGGTTTGCCGTTGGGTCCACTTGACATCACAACAGTGCTGCTGGAGAAGGAGCTTCCAGCGCTCATGTGCCCGTCAATATCTAAAGAAACAAAATAAAATAAATTAAAATATGCAACAGACATTTTTTAGCTCAAAAATCATAAGTGTGATGATTGATATTAGTATAAAATCACCTTCCAAGAAAATCAGAATTATGATTTAAAAGCGCAGGATACATTATAAATTGGCATCTCATAAATAAAATAATAAAAATAAATAATTGAAGTGTAAATTGACTTGATAGTAAAAATCTTAGGCTTAATAATTACAACTGATATGTAGATAAACAAAAAAGATATGAGCGTCTAAGTAAATAAACTGGGTTATTATCTTGGAACTTTATATTGTTGTGGTAACTAAAAGCATAACAATCTCTCTTAAAAGTATTTGTCACACTTTCCCAGTGCATAGAAGCCGAAGATGAATAGCAAGATTTTTAACCAAAATTGAATAATAGGACTATTATAGGTATCTAATAAATGATTGCTAAAGCTTAGTATAGGATTTGTAAAAATGTTTACTGCATTTTGTCACCTTAATGGAATTTCAATTTGTTAGGACAATGAACCAACCCCCAAACCACTCCAAACTCCAAGTGCTGAGTTACTGTGCATATTTATAATATTAATTCTAGTCCAATCTTAGTCCATAAGCATTTTTTTCGTCAGAAAAAGGTATATATACCTGAGATTCCTGAGAAAAGTCTGTTCAGTGAAGGCATCTGGGGCATAAAAGGCATGAGCGAACTTCCATGCCGAGGGCCTGCAATAGCGAGCGGGCCTCCACCCCCAAGCATTCCAAAAGGGTCCGAGAAAAGGGAATTCATCATGTTGTTCATCTGACGCATGTGTCTCATGTGCGACCTGAACAAAAACATATTTTGACACTATTACGAGCAAGAGCTTGAAATCTTCAAAATCAACTTGTATTGCGGTAAAAAAAGCTGTCACGTGTGCTCTTGATAAGTATGTAAAGTAACAATATCAATAAGAAATAAAACAAATGATTTCACAGTCTAAAATCGTTATAAAATATTCTCAAAACGTACCCGAAAAATGGATCGTCTTCCACGTCGCCCATTAAAGATCCAAAAAGAGACATTTTAAAGCGATATTCAAGTCAAAATTAAACAGGACCGCAAATGCGAGGAAATTCAAATGTCCTCAACACAGTTTTCAATAAAACACAAAAATGTGTTACAGTATTTCTGTTAGAAACTTTTATCGAATTCTCTAGCAGGTAGCCTTGTTGCGATTTAATCATAGACTACGGGTTAAGGATGTTCAATATCGAATCGAATTATGAATAATTCGATTAATTGTTAGATATAATATATTGCGAAATAATCGATAATCTATTAATTCAAATTATCAATCAGATCGATTATTTTCTGATCGCTTAATTGATTCAATGACCTTCTATATAATATATGGACTTATCACTTCATACATAAACAAAGCTTCAACATGAAACATACCTAGAAAATCACCATAACAAGATTTGACAGCTTTATACTTGTAAATAATAACTATATACTTGTAAATCTAATTTTAAGATCTGAAATTTTTTAAGTGGGTAATTAATTTACGATATTTTATAAAAGATTTAGTAAGAAAAACGTGTGTATATGTACATATACATACACGTTAAATACTATAATAGTGAAGTGGTACAGAGCGGACTCATCCGTCACGTCCATCCATCGCAAGGATTTTTAAGAGATTTACTATCACTTAAACAAACAATAAACATATTAAATTATAATTAAGTTCATTTCTCTGTAAAACACTGCAAAAAATACAAAGACAATTTAACTATTTCATTTTAATTTAAACAAAATGGTAAAAATTAATAACAATAAAAATACATTGATGTTAATTTATTTTAGACGATTCTTCTCTATTGTTCTTTATTTTGACTACGTTCTAGTCGCGTCATTTTTCTCTCTTTTTTAATGCTTGATGGAGAAAGAACTAGGAAATATTAAGGAATAACAATTATTTTTATGAAAACTCAAGAACTGTTTTTCTGTGATTAATCAATTAATTAATTGAAATCGGATCAGTTGAATTTATTAATTTGAAAAATCGATTATTTTGGCATCGATTACATCCATAGTACGAGTTTTTTTAATTTAACATTCTCCCTTTTCAGAAAAGGCAGAGGGAACAATGCTCGTACAGCCTTATGTTCAGTTTTATTAATGTTATTTTTTTCTACGTTAGAATGTGGGTGTGAAAAATTCTGTTTCTTGGAGTCGTTGGCACGAAAATTGATTAAGATTTCTCGATAAGCTTCTGCGAGGTAGTCAACACTAAAATAACGTTCTTACGCTCACTTGACCGGAAAAGCGTATATTTTACTAATTCTTCAGTTGTGCACATGGTTGTAACAAAAAATCACACCAATTTTTATATTACATGAACTAATTAAAGAAGAATTATTACGGCTTGAAGAATACTATTTTTACAAGTCTGTCAATAAAAGGTCAATAAAGTCATGAATAAAAAGTAGGTCGCTACCGTCGCTTTCATGGTATCCCCGTTATACATCGACTAATACGTTTTTGTTAAAAAGTAATATTGGTGTCGATTCTAGCATGATTCTCTAAACCTAAACTTAAATTTGACAGCAGTATATCCTTGTCATTCTCTATACAGAATGAAAAGGAGAGACTGATGTAAAATTTAGTTTTAAGTTTAGAGAATCACGCCAGAATTGGCACCATTGTATAATTATATAACTCTATACATTTCATTATTACCCGAGTTTCTATCTTATTTTTTCATAATCTAAGATTTTTTGTACTTTAATGGAAATAAAAATTCTATACATTTTTTTTCTAGTTAAAAAATTCTTTAGATTTCTAAATCAAACACATTAACCCTTAAAATAAACTTTAATAAAATTATTAAAAGTTTGCCAAGCTTGACTTTTGAGGGCCAAGCTAGTAGACACACAAGCCACATATGACCGGCCATTTTCCGGACACTTACTAAAGGTGGAAAATAAAAAGATAGTTATTATAGTGAATCTTAGACTAAGTAGTGAATACATTATAATTATCTATGCCAAATAATCTAATTAAAATGATATTCCTCCGTCATCAAATTGCTGGTTGCTGCCTGTCTCATAGGATTAACTGGTACTGGAATCAACGTCATCTGCACAGTTCCACAACAGGCAAAATTTTCGTTTTAAAATTTACACAGATTTTCCATTCTTGTGGAATAAATAACGGACCCAGTGCGGATTGGTGGGTGATAACGTACCCAGCGCGGATTTGTGGGTGATAATGGACCCAGTGCGGATTGGAGGGTGATAACGGGCCCAGCTCAGCGCGGATTGGTGGTTTTTTTTTCTATCAACAAATCTTCAGGTTGAGTTTATGATTTTCAGATCATTGGAGCTAAAGAAGTCTCACTTCAGTCGTGTGGTCATAAGCACACTCGCAATTTTTTTTGTTATATCCGTTTTATGTTCAAAATAATTATTTTTATTTATACTGGTGACGATTCTGGCACGATTCTCTAAATCTAAATTAAAATTCGCCAACAGCCTCGTCATTCTTTAAACAGAATAAAAAGAAACACCGATCTTAAATTTAGTTTTAAGTTTAGAGAATATTGCCCGAATCGACACCATTACCTATGTACTCGACGGCGTCTTATAAAGCTCGAACTCCGGAATTATCCACGTCGACACCGCCGAGTAATTTCAGTGGATTGCTGTTGCTAAGCTATTACAAATAGTCATCTTTTTTCAAATCCATTTTTAATAATTTTCACATAGTAGGTTTGTTGACATTATCACAACACCAATTACAAGTCTCACCAAACTTTTTTAAGCTTTTTTTTAATAATACCTACATAAGTACCAAGTGTTAGAATGGAACAACAAAATAAATTATAGATACTTCACAGAATTACAAAAGCACAGCGACAAGTTTTGTAAATCGCATTTATCACTACTTGAAATCGCGGAAACGATATCCAACAGATATAGATCGGTCGTCATTAGCTTTAGTGAAACGACCAGGCTGCCGACGAGGGGTACGATGTATACACCATATCTTGAAGGCCATTCCTTAATTTTGCATGACGAGCTGGAATCGTAGGCACTGCCTGAAAGTAAATTACCTATATAGAGACAAAGTTTAAAATGCAAAACGTATTTCATTACAACATATTCTACTCTAATTATATCAGTTTTGTATCCAAGTATCTACATCATGAAGTTCTCAGTTTGAAACATCATTTCGATTTTTTTATGTTAAATAATTTAATGTTTATTGGCCACAATATTATTATAAATGTTAATGTTTTTAGATTGATCATCCATAATAAGAATAAATTACCTTTATAGTTTGTTCCGCGTCTCCGTGACTGTTTTTACATGGAACATCTCCTATTTGGCCGATCACCTGTTCCACTTTTTCAGTGATCTGATTGTTATTGGACATATTATTCGCAATCGTGTCCCCTCCAACTTTTTCCACCGGACTCCTCTGCTGCTGGGAATTTAAGTTAGATTGCGCTATGTTCAATTTTCCATCAGAATGCGTCGGTGCTTGAACCGGAGAATTTAAGTTCTGCTGTGTGAATGATTGTGAACCCTTGTACTGATTGTAAATATGTTGCAACTGGCTTTTACTGACTCTTCTCCCTACATTCCCATTTCCAAATAACGATGTCTTGCTCACAGTCGACTTTACGTTGCTGTATTTCAATTGATCATTACGCGATTTCGTTGGTATAGGTTGTGGAGACAAGGTTTGAGGAAGACCTGGTTCAGGTTCATAGTACACTTGCGCAGGCAACTTTTGGACTGGTTGTCCAAGCGTGTTATATTCATAATGCTTCTGTGGCATGGTGTAATTGAATGGCGGATTTCTAGATGTGTCGACTGGGAATATGGGTTCTCTGTTCATTTGTTGTGTTGCTGGTAATTCAGATTCTGAAACGTGTGGCTGTGGAACCTCCATTTGAGAATTCATCACGTTCTGATTATGTGGTTCTGTATGCTGTTGGTATACGTGTTGCTCATTAGAGCCCGACACAGCTGAGTAAACTTGCTGTTGTTGCTGTGGCACGGCATTAGGTTGCGTCGGAGGAGTCATAGCGTTTGAATTATCATTTAGCTGTTGCATTGGTATGGCCTGCTGATTTGTATATTGTTGATTCGTTGCAGAGGGATTTTGATTTTGAGAAACTGGTACAGATGGTGGTTGAACGATATTTGCTGTTGCTGGTGAAACTGCATGTTGAGCAGAAAATTTATCCATAGGGGATTTACCGGTCATTAATTTTTGCATCGTGTCCATGGCTGCTTTTTGCTGATTTGCAGGATTCATTTGAATAGCAATCGCCATTGGATCAAATCCGAGATCTCCTCCTTGTGTTACACCAGGGAACATCTCATTGAACTTCATAACACCTTGGGTGTGCTGGCCATATCCACGCTTATTCGGTACTGCCATTTGTGTTGCTGGATTGCCCACATTTCTTGAGTTTTGCAGCATGTTTCCTTGTATAGTATTATTCTGTGCAGGGCCTGCAGAATTTGGTGAAGTCATATATTGTGTTACAGGATTTTGATATTGTCCTCTATTTAAATTTGTAGACTGATTGACGTTAGATGTGAATCCACCCTGATTCATGTCCGCATAAATATGGTTAGTAGCTGGATTGAACGGAGTAACTCCCACTTGACCGTGCGGTGATTGCGGTGCGTCGATAACCATCGGTGCTGTCAATTGATTTCCTTGTCCCTGCATCTGCTGATTACCTTGTTTAAGTCCATTGTCTCCCATGATCATTTTTGCAATTTCTGGGCCCATACCACCACCCATATTATTCATCGGCTGCTGATTCGATTGCATTGGTACAGCATTTATATTTCCAGACATATTTGAGAGATTCGTCATATATCCTTCACCTTGGATGCTGTGTTGTTGTGCCATGTTCATGCCAGTATTACCAACATTGTCAGCAACGTTTTGTCCAAGCCCCATTTTGTTGGCCATTGGGTTGTTCATGACAGTGTTAGCTGGAGTGATAGATTTTAAGTCATCATAAACTTCTTGTACTACAGGCTGCATGAGGTTGGAATTAAGATAGCTGTAGGTGTCTGCATACAGCTTTGGAGGGTTGCAGTGACCCATACAGGGTCTATTCATATTTCCTGGGTGAGGTTCGCCAGCGTTTAGCATGCCATGCCCATAACCGTGTCCATGACAGCATCCTCGCCTACATCCACCACAAGTTGGCAGCGGTGAGCCCATTGTATGCCCTTGGCCAGTTTGATTTGGATTTGAGAACAACTTCCCCATGCATCCACTGAAATAAAATAATTATGTTTAGATTCCCATTATTTCTATTTTACCAAGAAACGTAACCCCAAGATGATACTTACCAATCAGCACTCTGCAGTTGGTTCATAACACTTCCCAATTCACTCAATATCTTTTGTTTATCCAATGACATTGTAATTACTTATGCACACCTCAAATTTAAAAAGCAAAATGAATAGGTACCTACTCTAAAATAAACGAATAATTTTTACTCAATAAAATTTTGTCATCGTCGGCTCGTGATGATAAAGTGTATGTCATGATGAGAGATGTCATTTTTATGGAATGCGAACCCCTTTTAAAAATGACATTACAGGAACTAAATAATGCGAACTTTGTGGATAAAAATCTATCTATCTACAGGGTTAATTTTAAAACACCAACAACCTCTTAAGGGTTTATTCTACCCATCAAAAGGAACAACTTTTATTATGGGACCAACTCTGAAATCGCGAAAAAAAAATTTGCTGTTTCATACATTTCGGTCGATTAGCTGATGCACTTTTGTATGAAAAAGCAGTTTTTTTTCGCGATTTCAGCATTGGTCCCATGATTAAAGTTGTTCCTGTTGATGGGTAGAATCACTCCCTAAGAGGTTGTTGGTGTTATAATATTAACCCTGTATATCGGAGTAAACAGTGGTTCCTTTGTCTCGCTAAAAATTAAGAACGGCTGGGGCGATTGAGCTGATTTTGGTTTTGAATTGTTTGTTGTAGGTTTAAACGGTGAGAAAATAGTAAAAACAAGAGATTCCAACATATATCCACATTTCTCGGATTATAGCGTATTTAAATTTTAGTTTATATTTGCTCCAAATTATTGTAAGCTGTACGAAGTTGCGGGGCGGTGCGCTGCCGGGGCGAAGGCGTGCGCCGTGATCGTTGTATTATTTCCCTAAAGTCAGCAACAAACTAATAAAGGAGATACTACGCATCAGATGGGACTCTTCGGAGAACCGATACGGGCACGGTACTTTACAGTTTGACACATTTTTTTTTAAATTTTTGTTCAAAATGTCATTGACCAATGATCAAACAGCTGCTTGGGGTTCGCTCAAGGAGTATTTACGCGGGGTTTTTAAAATACCAATACCACGAAATTTTAAATTCATATTTATTAAAATTATTTATTAGGGCCACGTGCAACAAATGTTCAAAATCATATAACTGAAACTAGATTTAACCCATAGAAGTGTATGGGCTTAATCTGAATCTATAGATAGCAAAATAGCTGCAAGTGGACATTAATCGATTAATTTAGATTCAGAGATTGTTAAATTTTTTACCAAATAAACTTTGTTTTTCATAAATTCAAAGCAGTTTACTTAATAGTATGTAAATGTAACATAACCTAAATAATATTAAAAAAAACAAATAAAAACAAATGCAACCTTAATCGTGCATCCACACCACAATTAACTTTTGTAGAGCAACACTACACAACATAACACTATGGTAACCTTTGGTATTATATCAAACTTTTGTGGCTATTTGATATTATTTGTTGATGACGTACATACTGCTTATTTTATTTAACAAAATATTTCAAGAAATTAACTATCGGCTACAAAGTAAAAGGGCCATGTTGCTTATCACATGGCAATATAAAATATGTATATTGACAATCTCAACTTCTAGCTGAAAATTAGCTGGGCTAGAATTAATGCAGGTTCACACTGAGTAAATATAGAAGGCATATGATCGCATTCTGTAAATAAAATGAAGAAAAATTTAAAAAGAAAGAAAAAATATGGGTGCGTGTACTTAAGTACGCGCGTGAGAAGTTATACTTCTTTTTGGAATTATTAAAAAATAGTTTTTAATTGCATGCAGATAATTAATTACAATAAGATAATAAAAGGATTGGAAAAGGATAGTCAACGCAGTCAATAAAGTTCAGTTTTAATTTGAAAAATTTAATATATAATCAAAATATTCAATTTAAATCACTACTGAATAAAATTTATTAGCACATATAAATTTCGCATTTGTATAACATTATAACACGTGTTAAGAATATAGAAACTAGAAACATGTGGATAAATATTATAAATATGAAAACAGTGATCAGAGGCGACGAGCGTCCCAACATGTGCGACTAAGAGATCCTATTACTATTTTGTTGGAAGCTTTTTTTCGAGACTTACGAGTAATGTGCGGTTTAGCGGCCGACTTCATGGTGTTACTTTTCTGTTACAGTGTTGCGCGCGCATCTTAAAATTTCACGCTCATCATTTTTTCATAACGCGCCCGCGGCTAACTTCATTATGTTACTTTTGTGTTACAGTGATGCGCGCGCATCTTAAAATTTCATTCTCATAATTTTTTCATAACGCGGCTAAAGAAGTATAACTTCAAAAAAACTATTATAGTTTGTAACATTACAATTTATAAAATCAATACATTTCGGTTAATTGAGGAATATTTCTTTATCAATATTCATAATGGACGAAGTAGGTGCAGTATCAGAATCTGTTTTAAAACAATTGTTATTTTTATAAAACAGGGTGACCTGGTGGTATCATAGCAACAATAGTTCTTAAATTAAAATACCTACCCATTCTCTATAAATTATTAAAGCAACCAGTTTTTTTAACAATGACCAAAAATTTTAAAATTTATTAGTGTTTGTAGTGTCTCAATAGACAGAGCCAAAACATGGAGTAACTAATCCAAGCGTAGTCTTCGTTTATTAATAAAGGGGGTATGCTTATAGTGTATGGAGTTTGGAGTAACTTCACACAGAGCGCGTTGCGGTGCGGACTCGTGCTACTAGCGGTTAATTCGGTTGTAAGTATTTTTTATATATATGTTGGTAAACTTTCCCCACAGAACATATTGTAATGAAGCGACGCCAACACAGAGGAGGCACCGAAACGCTTCTGCGACGCCACCACACAACCACTACTCCGGGACGACTGACACGAGTCACGACACGCAATGTGACCGTCACCGCTCCGCCTCCGGCTTCTGTGTTTTTTGGCCTTAAATGACCGAAAAACCGACACAGCGTCCATCGAGGATCATCACTGGCAACCATGGACAATCACAGCATATTATGGGAGTTTTGGCGGGATTTCATCGAGTGTGGTTGGCGTCTTATTTTAATTATTCTTAAATTCATTCATAGTGGATATTGTGAAATAAAATTGGTGTGATTTTGTGATACAACTACAGTTACGCAGAGTAACTGATGAATAAGTAGAATCGTCAAAATATACGCTATTCCGGTCAAGTGGACGTGAGAATTTTATTGTAGTATTGTCTACCTCACAGAAGCTTATCGAAAAAGCCAGCTCGATACATTTCGTGCCAAACACTTCAAGAAACATTAGAATGCGTCACACCGACATCCTAATGTAAAAAGGAAAACAGAATAATTTAACTTAAGACTAGGCTGTATGGGCATTGTTCCCCTTGCCTTCCCTGAAAAGGGAGAACTTAACCAAAAAAAAAAACAGCATATTATGCTTTCCATACGATGCATGATGGTGTTCGCCTTGGTTCGCCTGTAATCGGCCATCATGGCCCATCGTGTAGAGGCGCCACCTAATCTGCTGAGCTCGCGACAATGCACATAACAGTACAAGGCAGTGTTGCCACCTTACCCCTTTTCGGGCTAGGTCTAGGACATTTTATGTTAAACTCGATTTTCATGCCTTAGTTGAATTTATTACTTTTACATTTACATTTATTACTTAAGACTATTTTCGATAGTTTTTGATTGTTTTTTATTATAAGAAAAAATAAGAAAAGGCCGATCTCCTCCCTCTTGTTTAATATTTATTACGTGAGAATCTAAATGAAAAAATGAATACACGTTTGGTTTGTTTCAATGTTTATTTTTCAAAGTATTTTTTTTTCATAGGGCGCAGTGATGGTGTCATGTGTCCGTTGCCATGGAAATAGAAATCGTTTACCTACCTATACGCATCCGCCGAGTGAATCTCGGCACTCGCGCGGTTGCCCGCGATTTTTCAAAGTATATTTTTAACTTTGCGCATTTGTGTGACCGTACGTAAGAACTATCGAGACTGCCTCCCACCCCCTTGTAAGAAAAAATAAGACATGGTTGCGACCTCTCTAAACCCCCCTAAATAGTCTTACATAATAAATTAATGCCCCTTTTCCAGCAATACGAATACTTCTCACCGTGATGACGAAGTTGTGAAAAAAATTGTGTGGGGCTAATTTGAAATACTTGATCAAATTGGCTAAGAACTTAGGCTATGTGAAGTTAATCAGCTATCAATTTATTCTGCTTCGGCTTGGACTGCCCTGTGTCAATCAGCCATCAACTTCTTCTGCTTCGCCAGATATAATTTTGGAATATTCCGATGAAGGCTCTGATTTTCAACAATTTAATTAGGTACCTACATAATTTTTATTACTTTTTGTGGTCCTGAAACAAGTGTTCTTAATACGTTTCAAATATTGTTTGAAACGTATTGAGCACGTAAGTTTTGGCACTGTCTAGCCCCTCTTTTGATAGCAGATCGTCTTCTTTGGACCGTGTCTCCTTTGCTAAATCTAGGTCTTTCTAGTCCAACTGCCCCTTTTCTAAAACCATGGTGGTAACACTGACTACAGGTACATAGGTCAATTCATAATTCAATATAGCGGTGGGCATTTAAACGAAAAGCGCTTAAATAAGCGCGCTTAAAATATTAAGCTTGTAAGCACGCTTTTAGGTATAAGCTTTATAAGCTTATCACTTAAAAAGTGTGAGTAAGCTTTTCACTTAAAAAAGTGCAAGTATATTTTTTACTTAAAAAGTGCAAATCCCGCCATCTATGTCTTTGCCAGGAAACTACATACTTCGATCCTTCTAGTCCACTACAGTATCGTAAAATGGGTACGCGGAATTCCTTGGTACTAAATATTTCACAATATCACAGACATAGAACGCGCGACTACAGCGCCGCGTCGGCGTGCCATCTTTCGTGAGCCGGTTAATACAGAATGCGAATTATTATAATGCGACGTAAAAAAATGCACTTTTTTAAAATTTGGTCGGATAACCAACGCTTTTTTCGTTAAAAGCGTTTAATTAAACGAAGTCGAAAAGCAGTACGCTTGTCACTGTGACGGGGTAAGAGCGCGTGGGTGTTGTACGGTGTGTTTGCATGCTTGCTTGACGTGTTAATGCGTTTCGTGTATTGGTTTAATGTGCATATAAAATAGTTAAAAGTATGTATATAAAATCAATGAACTTTTAAGTACGCCTGGATCACGAGTATATTAACTCCAGACAGTCCTAAGCTTGTAAACTAAGAAGGAAAGT